TCACCCTCAATCCCTAAACCCTAGGCCCGAAACCTTGCAGACGGGGCAGACGGAAAACAGGGGCTCACGACAAACAGAAGAAGCTGTGTTGGCGTTAACTCCAAAAGCCGTGAACATCTAAAAGTTGTTGTTGCCGGAAACCTACAATTTGTGCACCTTGAGGCTTCAGTTGAACCGTAAAAGGTTTCGAGTTTCGGGGACGCAACAACGCACCTTCCCGAGGTGGCTGCATGCCTTACTGCGCGCAGGATCCAGATGTCTTCGCGGTGGGCGTGAAAAGCGGCGGGATTGATTCAGAAGTGTGTGGGGGGATTTTTGTTTGTAGGGGGTGCAGGGTCTAGGTGCCTCGCGATTACGCTCGAATGTGACACCCCGCACTTGCCATGTTCTAGTCGAGTTCTACTACATCCACTACTGCATCATGTTGCGGTGTTTTCTAGTCCATGCTGTTGCTGCTACAACACGAAACTCATCATCTAAACTACCGTATCTAGAGTAGGAGCAGCAGTACGTAGTGGTGGCAGTAGTATAGTCGTCGTTGCAGTAGTAGTAGGAGCAGCAGCGGCAGCGCTACATTGTTTACCCTCGTCGATTTAAGCTTGCCTGGGCGTGTGCATACGGCTTACTGTAGGAGCCTATAAAGAATTACCAAGACCATTTCGGGGGTTCCCTATGATAGTTATAGTATAACTTACCCCAAAGCCCTGTTCGAATTATGAAGGCTTCTATTACATTGGGTTTGCACTAGCTCTAACTTGCACTAAAGCCTGGAGAAGAGGTCCCTAACATAGGGGCTAAACTCTATCAGTCGTATCACTTAGGGTTCCCTGCTATTTCTTAAAGCTGTAGTATACTGCAGTATAACATACCATGCAAAGGTATTATAGGCCCCTATAAGTACCCTGGACTCTTAACCGTTGGTAGAAGGAAACTCCGCTCAGGCAGCAAGGCTGATGGCGAGTATTGCTGGTGCTTTACGCGCTATCTGAGCCACACCATCTATGAAAAGGCGAGGGACCATCGTCTCCGGAGAAGGGGTGAGGTTCTAGTAGGCTTAAGATGCAGAGGGGGCGCTTGAGGCTTCAAACACCGTCTGTGTGTGTCCGTTTGTCCGTCTGTCCTTCTGTCTGTTTGTCCTTCTGTCTGTCTGTCCGTCCGTCCGTCTGTCTGTCTGTGTACATTTATGCAACCGCACAGTTTGGCCCAGCACCCAGAGCCAGGCGCCAAATCCTTTATTTCTTGGTCATCGGGTCCTTGATGATCACTCGCATTCCTGGTTCAGGTGCTCACAACCCTACCCTCGACCCTAATCCCGACATCCTACAGCCCAGACCTTACATCCTAAGCACTAGCCATGAACCTTCAACGAAAGCCAGCTCAGCCTGACGTCGGGCAACCTAACCCGTGGGACCCCTCCTGAGCCTTGAGCCTTGAACCCCAAATCCCAAATGTTAGACTCTGTTAAACCCTGAACCAATAGAGCCTTATAGGCTCGTGATAGAACCCTTTTATTACAGAATCCTTAAGCAGTTTGTTAAGCTCTAAATGCTCTGAGGGGTGTGCTTTCAGCCAAACAGGCGGAAAGCCAAAGCCCCCCGCCGCCCCCATGTCGAGCCAAACTGGACTGCTGTAGAAGTCGGGCTTTCAGAGTTTTAGGGGTTAGGTTGTATGGCTTAAGGGTATTTTCCTTTACATTCCCTGAAAGCCCCCACAAAAAATCCCCGATCATGTTACAACTTCTCAGCACCACAGCCTGCAAGGCCGTCAGGAAGTACGACGACGCCAACGTCGCGGGAGTCTCAGTTTTTGGGGTTTTTGGGTCCAGGTTCCAGGACCGCGAGAGTGCTCGAGTTTTAGTGATTTGGTTTTAGATCCTGTGCTTCGGAGGTGCAGGATGTGACGAATTAGGCATGGCAATTACGTATAATTACGTAGTTGTCTCGCCGGGGATGCAAATGCAACCCCATATGACCCGCTGCTTCGTGCTATGTTGTAGTTATACCTCAGAAATGCAGCCCTCGGCCCGATGTCCTGAAGACATTCCACGAACCCTAAACTCTTTAGGGTTATGGTTTTAGGGTTTAGGGTTTAGGGTTTAGGGTTTAGGGTTTAGGGTTTCTCGCTAAGTATGCTCTCATACCCGAATGAAAGCCTGAGCCCTCTCGCTCACCGAGGTGATTGGCAAGTGGGCGTACCCTGTGGCTCGCTCCCGATCATTAAAGGGCTTTAATTTTTAAGCCGTAAACCCTAAAGGTTAAAGGGCAAACCCTAAACCCGAAAGGGTAAAGAGTAAGCCCTAAACCCTAAAGGGTAAAGGGTTTATGCTTTGGGTTTTGGCTGCAGAAGGCTTGCAGAGCTCTGGCAGACCTCAAGCTGCAAGCAAACAAGGATCCCAGGGACTTTCGGGTTTAGGGTTTGAGGGGTTAGCTTTGAGGGTGGAAGGATAGGGTTTATAGTTGTGACAGGCTGTTGTATTGCAGACATCATCAGGGTGCACGATAATTGTCTGATATGGTTTCGAATATCATTTCAATATGGCCGCCTATAAGCTTCATAGTCTTTGGCTGGAGGTCACAGAGCTCTCTAAGCCCTATAGCCCTATAGGCCTCAACTTTTTGGTGCGGTGCAGGGGTCTTTCTTTCCTGACAGAGTAGGGCATGCCTTATCCGCAGCAGCGGCAGTAGGTCTTTCTCCCCATACCCTAAACTTACACCCCCCTAGGCGTATCCCCGAGGCCTAAACTTGAAACCCAAGTCGTAAGATGAGGAACCAAGCAGCACAGAGAAGTAGAGTTTTGAATCATGCTTCTTGTAGAGTGCCCTAAACCAAAAGCCCTAAACCCTAAACCGTGGCTAATACGTCAAGATTTTGTGTTCAGGTGCGCCTGAATCTAGACTGCCAGCTTACCAGATTAAAGAAAGTTGCTCTGAGGATTTAGCAGGCAAGCCGCTGTGGCACTTTGTAGGTTGACGGTTTAGGGTTTAGGGTTTGGGGAGATCCTACTGACGAATCTTGATCAGAAGGTGTTACTGCCAACCTAGTCTCTAGATTTATGTAGGGTTAACGGACTGCTGTTTCTCTAGAGGGCTTCTTCGGAGTGTTGATCGTGGTGTGCAACGAGGCCTTGACCCTCAGCCAGAAAAAACCCGAAGGCCTAAAACCCTAAACCCTAAACCCCAAAGCCTAAACCCTAAACCCTAAAGCCTAAACCCTAAAGCCTAAACCCTCAAGGCTCTTCAGGGATCCTAAACCCTAAACCTTAAAGCCTGAACCGTCAAGCCTAAACCCTGAAGGTACTTCAGGGATCCTAAACCCTAAACCCAAACCGAAGCCCTCAACTCCAGCCCTTCTCAAGCTTGGGCGGCTGCGGCCTTCCAAGGTAGTTCTGAGAGGAGGGTAGCATAGGGGCCTTAATAATTAGAATGGGGTATTGTGGCCCGTTATATGATATTTATAATGAGGAACCCCAAAATAATTCAATACTTAGAATGGGGTTTTGAGGCCCATTATGGTATATTTATAATAATAAAGAACCCCCCAAAATAATATTGGCAATCATTTAGGTCCGTATATTACCTGAACCCTCATGTCCAGCACCGTGTTTTGGTGACATGATTGTTCGGCTTCTTCGGACTCTAGCCGGCATGTAGGGGTCCTTAAGATGGCCCTGGGGTTTGTTAGAGGGCTCCTCAAAGAGGTTCCATAAACGAGGGGGGTTCAAGGGTGCGCATGTCAGGGTCCAGGAACGCCAAGGAACCCCTGAACCCTGAACCCTAAACCCCTGAACCCTAAACCCTTAAACCCTAAACCCTTAAATCCCTAAACCCTAAACCGTCTGGCTTAGGAAACCAACTATCAAGCCTTCACGAAGATCATGATAAATCCGGTCTGCGGCTGAGCTCCTCGGGTGGGGGTTGTCTTTAGCTTTTGGGGTTTAATGTGGGGCTCGGAATAATTAGTAACGGTATTTCCTTATGGTCTCCATAGAATGATACTTTGGGCCCCTACAGTAGGGAATGAGTTAGTACTTGTATTTCTTGGAGTTCCTTAGTATGTTTTTGTTGTTTTTGGTGTAGGGTTTAAGGTTCCAGGGTTGAGGATTTCGAGTTTCCGGGTTTACGTTTTTAGGGTTTGGGATAAGCCAGGTGGTCCAGACATATTGCGGGCAATGAATCCGATGCTTGACGGGGAAAGGATTCATATGCTTAATATAAGAGCCTTATTAATTACTTATCACGTATTATAGTTATACCTAATTATTAAGGCTCCTACATGAATTCCTGGGCGAAGTTCAACGCAAACCCAAACCCCACACTCCCAAAGAAACAGGAATCGAGTGATAATAAGCATCGTAATGGCTAGCATTGACCAGATACTCCTTCCAGTTTTAGTAGCAAGAAAAGTCATGATACTCGTAGTAGTAGCAGCAGTAGTATTCGTCGTCGTCGTCGGCGCAGTAGTAGTAGCAGTAGTAGTAGTAGTAGTAGTAGTAGTAGTAGTAGTAGTAGTACTAGTAGGAGTAGCAGTAGTAGTAGTGGTAGTAGTAGCAACAGCAGCAGCTGTTGTTGATGTTATACTATCTGGGGCGCGTACTTCTAGCGAGTAGTTGCAGTAGAATCCGTCGTAACAGTAGTACCAGTATCTCTAGTAGCGTCTATAGTAGTGACATGTAATGTAGTACCTCCAGTAGTGAGTTTCGTCTTTCCGTAATCTTCTTCGTCTGCCCATTCTTTGTCATCGCTGTCGTCGTTCGTGGCCGATGGTCTTTTGTTACTGCTCTGCCCACGCCATTGACTACGAAACTCGTGCCGAATCTTCTGTCTTGTTCATATCTGTTGCCTGTGACCATTCCCGTACAGAACAGACAGCATCCCGGCTTTACAAACCTGTCGGATGTCACAGAGCAGTGAACCAAGCAAACGTCAGCCTCGAGAAACTGGAAACCCATTTTCCGTGCACGTGACTCCCATCCAAACCGGCACACTTGTCGTCCGGGCCACGGGCAACAGCAGTAGAAAATGGCTTTGATTGGGTTGGCACAGCATCCGAAGAGACTGGCCTGGAAGCACAGACATCGTATTTTTCTATATGCCTTCGTGTCTTAGTGCTAAGGGTTTAGGGTGGTTTAGGGTTGTTGCGATGGCTTCCTGAGTTGTTTTTGCGTTCCCATTCAGACAGCTGTGCCGCTTTCCGTGCTTCTAGCCGCTGGCACGTTCGGAGCTGGTACGCTAGGAGTATGATTATGTAGGGCCTCTAAGACGAAAATATCCTGAACCCCAAAGTTCGCCACTTCCTTCAACAGAAGCAATAGACAACTTAATTTCGGGACCGTTTTCATCCGGATCCTGATATTCAGGGTCCCACATGTGCTGAAACTCTCATATACAGGGCCACCTCCCCACTTTCTTCAACCCATGGATCCAAACCCCGGAAGCACAAATGAAACGACGAATCTTCAACCCCGAGCCCGAGCAAGGTGAAAGATGGCCTGCCAGGGACCCGGGGGATACTGCGGTGGCTGGCCAGAGACCATTGCAGGAGCACCGACATTCACCTGCCACATAAGCAACCTCAAACTGAAGCAGGGTGTAGAAGTTCGGCTTTAGTTGGGCCCAGGGGTTTAGGGACGGCACAGGGCGCCATAAGCCCCAAAATCTAAACTCAAGATGTCATGGCACTTTGTGCAGATCCTTTCCAAAAACCACACATGCTGCTGCGAGCACTGGTCTATGAAGAAGGAGACCTTGAATCAGAAGAAAGTGCATTTCGCCGTACACCCGCTTTAAGAAGGCCTGTAAACAATCACTGCTCTGGGGCACGCAGTGGCTCGCGTAAACTCTGCTACGGGCAACAAGACTCCCTAGAAGCCCCAGACCATAGTAAAAGGGTAGAAGGAGGCATCGCAAACCCTACAGTCAAACACACCACCTCTCGCAGTCAGAATCATCAGCCGGGACGAAACGATGATAAACGATGGGTGTTGGTGCTATCCCCAGTTTGGGGAGGAAAGCTTATTGGCCTCCCTCAAGCCAGAGACACAGAGTTCGATTAACACGGCGGCAGGGCCGAAACGTTGACTTGCGGCTGGGCCTGCATGACCTCAGCTTTTCGGGGGTTAAGCGTCGGAATCAATGATAGTTGTGATACAATGGATTTCTCCACATGTTGGCTAGCAAAGCACTGTTGCTTGGCATCATCTCTAAGTATCATAAGGTGTTCTGGAGGAGCTTCACAGAGATCGGGATTCTTCTTTTCGCTGTCAGAATATAAGGAATAAATCAGACTGCCAATCTTTCACCTGGCAATCGCTGCCAGCATCTTCAACATGACACTTAATACAAGCGCGACGTAATACATACATACATAGATACATACGTACATACATACATACATACATACATACATACATGCATACATACATACATACATACATACATACATACATACACGCATACGATATATAAACAACACATTATATGTGATATATGACAAATCGGATCCCATATATTGCATATTTTGTATGGAATCTTATATATTTTCATTAAAACAGTATCTTATATCCTTATATACTATATAATACCTATTATCTACTACATAGCTTCTTATATACATTATACACTATAGAGTATATAGTCTGTGCTATATGTTATATGTCATAAATCCTATGCTATATATGACATATTGTACATTGTATATCATATATTACATATCATACATTCCATGTTCTATGATCTGAATGATACATTGCGTGTTCTGTGCTATATGCTTTAAAGGTTCAGTAATACAGTGTGTGTATACATAGTGCACCACCAACAATATATATATATATATATATATATAAATCATATCTATACATGTGCATACATTATAGATGCCCTATGAAAAATGCAAATGACATTATACACTATGCAGGCCATACATTATATCTCGTATGTGTTATATTATAAGTAATGTAGGAATAATGAAAGTTACAGATGATAGCTTGTGGGTTAACGGTTAAATAGTAAGTAGTATGCAATAAACTGTGTATACTATACAAAAAATACTTTATACTATAAACTGTTTACAGTATAGGTGGTAAAAATACTACTAACATGTCTGTTCTATGGTACATTGTACAATACATATCATGTACTATATATCAATATAGTGCATTATATGTGCAGTGTCGAAATATTCTTGATATATAAACACATATCTATATATATATATATGGGTTACATATATATATATATATTCAGAGTTCAGGGTGTGTAGCACACTGTGTCTACTATTTGCTGTTTGCTATTTATTGTAGTTCCCATGTTTAACTGTATATTGATACATAATGATACATACTAATATGCATATATATATATATATACATACATATGTATATACCCATTATACCGTAAACCGTGCCCTTCCCGGGCCTGTGGCTGCATGGCCGGACGAAGGAGTTCACACTGCGAACAGGCGACGTGGTTTTGGCTTGAGCCGTGACTCTTCGGGACCGACATCGGCTTCGGCCACTCGATCAGGAGGCATGTTACACATGCACGACAATGTGCTTCACCTCCTTGCGTCTCACGGCGTCTCCACATCTAACATACAAGTTGTGTATACGGCACATATGCACCCGCACAACATCGAGAGAGACACGTGGAAACACAGGTCTTTCGATATAGATGTTGTTTTGTCAGCGGACAAACATCGTAAAATGCCTATGTCGACTGCATGCACCAGTCGGGGATAAACATGTGCCTATCTTCTGCGCGAATCATATTGCTGGATCCCTTTCACTTTCGTCCTTCGTGAGGCGGAAAACCTCCTCCGGTGGCCTGCCAGCCATCTGCGCGGGGCCATGGCTCACCGCTGCTCACCTAAAGGCCTGGCAACCCTTTGGACGCGCAAGTGCTTTTGAGGTGGACGCCCCCACGGATAAGAGTGCTGGGAGCAACGAGCACTGGGAAATCCATGGCGAGGGGTTCTGAAGGACATCTCCACGCTTTCGAAAAGCTTTGCGTAGGCTACACCAAACATCAAGGTGACATCTCTCTGGTCAGGCAGCCGATTGCTGGGGTGGGGGTGGCAACAGTACCTTCAAGCTTTGGGTGAAAAGCCGGGTCTAAGGCCAGCTTTAGGCTCCACATGTCAGCCAAAGCTTCGGAGACTCACCGCGGGCACTTGCATGATCTTGCATGAGAAGGCTACAATTTTGTGCTCTGCATCGTATCAGCCCAGTACATGCCCCCATTATGAAATACATTTTGAAACATGTTGTGGACCATACGAGTACAGGCCTCCCACGCCTAGACTAGTGGCTCCAGAAAAACGAAATCCGTGTCGAGCGGCGGGTTCATGCCCGATTGGGGCTTCGCGCCGGCAACAAAGGATAATAGTGAGATCAGCTTTCGTAATGCTGGCCAAGATGAAGCAATGGTGCGAAGAATTCCGATGAAATCATGTTGCTGATGACCACGGAGGAGCAGGAGCAGGAGCAGTACTCGTAGTACTAGTACTAAACGGACTAAACCGTTTTCGTAGTTGTCGCTGGAAGTACCCGCGCCCGTCTGCACGAGTCTGTCGCTCCCTCTCTCCCTCTCTGTCGCTCTTGCCCTTCTTGTCTTGTTGTCTCGTTGCACAAGTACTTGTAAGCGCTTGAGCCTGCCTTGACCGAGGCCTCTTCTAGCGAGGTCAGCAACCGCCCAAGCAGGACCTGTCCGCTGGTCATTTGGGATGCACAAGGAAATAGCTCTGCATGTTTCGGGAGATGACATGAAATTCTACGAAACAGGAGAGCAGACAGACTAAACGCGAGGCGAAGCGAACCTCATAGAGAGAGAGATGAGATAGGAACAGGTGACATGATATGAATCAGAGGCAGATTTGGTGGCATCCACATCTCAGGGTATACAAGATTTTCGACGGCATCCACATACGTGCCCAACATCTTCAGACAGCAGCCACACACATTGAAGCATGTGATGTGTGAAGTCTTGAACCCATCATGGTGAATTTGCCAACAATAGTAACAGCAAGAACAAGAATGATTTAACGATAATGATAACTGATAAGGATATTACGAATAAGAATACGAAAAATGTAGTAACAATACATGCATTCTTGATCATCATCATAGTAGGAACAATGGCTCACTCGGGCTGGGCGGGGCACATCGAAGTTGGCGGCACCCCGACCGGCGAAGTGGACCACAGCTGCGTGTACCTCGTACAGCTTTGGACTTAGGATTTAGGGTTTAGGGTTTAGGGTCCTAAACCCTAAACCCTAAACCCTTTTGAGCCCTCAGTTCCTTCACATACAGCAGTACAAGGTTTATGTCATCGAACCCTCTGATGATGTCTGCAGAATCATGCTGAATTGCCTACGAGTGCTTGTTTCCACCATCCTTGGCAGCGCATGTGTTAGTGCTTTCTCCTCAGTCTCAGTTGGGAGGCTCCAAATGCGAAGAAATCCCCTCCTGCCTGCTGAGGTTGCAGCTGCAGGACGGCGGCCTGCACCTGCCAGTAGAGCGGGCGCTTGCAAGTGTGCGAATTGTTCGCGGTGCAATTTGGAGCGTTTTGTATTGACTTGGACAAATCTGGTGCGGTTTGAGAATGAGAGGTGCCGAAGCGGATGCATCTCCCAAAAGAACGATTGTGTGGGCGCCGGGCACCCCAGCAATCTCAAACCCGTCCACCGCAAGCCCAAACTGCGCAGCCTGGGACAAAACGGCCCCCAAACCCAAAGTCTCTCAAAGCTTGTGGAGCGAAGCCAGGGCCTCACGCGCCGTGCGTTCGGCCCGGGGGCCCTTGCCAGGCTCCGTGGAGAGTAGGAAGAGGCCTTTTCGCTGCGTTGTTTTGGCAATTGGCAGTAGCAGTAGCAGTGGTAGTGGCAGTAGCAGAAGCAGTAGGCGTCGTCGTAGCAAAAGCAGCTGTAGCAGTAGTAGCCGCAAAAGCAGCGGAATAAGAGCAATGCCAGAAATAACGGCAATACCAACTGTACCAAACACCTCAGACAG